GCTGGCGCTCCGCGGGTCCGGAAGAAGCCGGAAGTGCGCGCCCGGCGTGGGGACGAGGGCGCCGGGTTGGGGGCGCGGAGCGTTCGGCCTCGCCCTCGCCCTCGCCCCCGCCCACCGCCCGTGTGGCCTTCCAGAACGGCCACACTGACTTCAGGTGGCGACGGGGAGGCGACGGCAGGAGAGCGCGGCGCGGCCTCCCCGCAGCCGCCGAGACCCCTCCGGCCGCCGGCGCGGGCTCGAGGGTGGGCGTCCCCCAGCGCCCGCGGGCAGGACTACCTCGGCGTGAGCGGCCGCTTGCAGAGTGGGCGCGGGGACCCGGCTCGGAAGGCCTCCGCGGGGCAGCCTCCGCGGGTGCACCTCGGATCCGCCTGCTGCCGCGCCCCGCGGGAGGCCCTCGGTCGGCCCGGCGAGCGCGGGAGCGGGGTGCAGCCCCGAGTCTGTCGGCGCGGCCGCGAGACCTGAGCACGTCTAACCCCCAAGCCTTGCTCCTCACTTGCTTTTGGGAAACACAGACGAGACTACTCCATGTACATTTCTGTTTGCAGCGCAGCAAATACATAACTTTTGTTGTTGTTGTTGTTGCTGCAGAACAAGGGTGAGGCTGTTTGAAAACTGGAGCGGAAAAACTCCACTAGTCTTCCTAAATTCACTTCAGTTTACATTTGTAATTTGACCTGCACGATGGAGACCTTGGTACGACTGATAGAGGGGCTTTCAGCGTTTTCCTCCGGAGCAGGTTGGGTAAAGGGCAGGGCACATGATGACCTGGGAAAACCACAGCCCTGTTCCTGCTTCCTGGTGTGCTCCGTCCCGCAGATCCGCAGTCTGGAAGAAGCAGGAGGAAGGTGTGTCTTGGAACCAGCCCCTTCCTCACTCTAGGACAGTTCTTGGGTCCCTGAGGGCCAGTGGAGCTGAGTCTGCTTCTGGGTCAAGACTATGTGTAGAAAATGAAGAGCAGGAAAAGAGAACACCTGTAGGGACAGCCAAGTCCTGGTTTCCTTCTCCATACTTACAGATGGGAGCAGTGCCAGAAGGCTGGTGTGGAATCTCTAATCTTCATGATTTCCCAACGGCTGCATTTCTCCTTGACCTTGTGGGACCAAATATTTATCTGATTTTTAGGGTTTCAGGGTTGATTAGCACTGTTGTGCGAAATCAAACATTGTATTTTGAGGCAGGCTCTTTCGATGTATTTCAGGCTGGCCCTGAACTCACTATGTAGCCCAGGTTGGCTTCAAACTCACACTGATCCTCCTGCCTCAGCCTCCCAACTGTTCTCCCCACTCTTGGCCTAAAATCAGATTTTTGCATCTGGTGTGTGATGTAAGTAAAACAACAAAACAAATCCCTTTTAGATATGTCCTCAACAAATGTTCCATGGCAGCTACAAAATGCAGTCACCTTGCTAGTGGTAGGATTCAAAAAGCAAAAATAGGATGAGGAAATAAGATGACCAGGTAACCAGTCGAGTCATACTGACCTGGAGAAGCTTGCAAGAGGACCGACTTTTGGGGCCCATCCTTCCCTTCTATGTATGTTAGATGAGGAGTCAGGTGGGCCAGGAGCCTCATCTCCTTTTTCACTGTTATTTGTGCTTCTGTACCAAGCTATCAACCATGTACTCCCTGTGAGCGAGGGTGTGTGCTTTCTTTCTCTTTTTCTTTCCCCCTGGAGCTGGGGATTGAACTCATGCCCTTGTACTTGCCAGGCAAGCACTTACTCAACTGTGCTATCTCCCTGGCCCCTTTGTGCTTTCTTTTTTTTTTTTTTTAATTTATTTATTTATTTGTGTGTGTGTATGTATGTGTGGCCAGCTCAGCCCACCAGGGGCGGGGCTGGCTGGCATGTGGTGCTGGGGGATTGAACCGCAGTCCCTCTGCTTTGTTAAGCTTGTTCTAAGTAGGTGCTTTAGACCACTGAGCCATCTCACCAGCCCCTGTGCTTTCTTTTTTAATGCTTATTCCAAGATGATCATCAGCTTTTTTCTTTTTTTAAATTTAATTAATTTATTTATTGTGTGTGTGTGTGTGTGTGTGTGTGTGTGTGTGGCCAGCTCAGCCCACCAGGGGCGGGGCTGGCTGGCATGTGGTGCTGGGGGATTGAACCGCGGTCCCTCTGCTTTGTTAAGCTTGTTCTAAGTAGGTGCTTTAGACCACTGAGCCATCTCACCGGCCCTTAAATATTCTTGAAGAGTCAAAAAAAAAAATTGTTTCTGAAATGGGGCTTTACTGTGCAGTTCAGGCTGGACTTGAGTTCACTTTTATAGCCAAGGCTGGCCTTGAACTCAAAGCAATACTACCGGGGCCGAGGAGATGGCTCAGTGGAATAAGCACCTCCCTGGCAAGCATAAGGGCCTGAGTTCAAATCCCGATTCTGAAAAAAAAAAAAAAGAAAAAAAAAGAGCAATACTACCTCAGCCTCCTGAGTACTGGAGTTACAGGCTTGCATCACCCCACCTGGCAATTTATTTAGCAGTACGGGGGAATCAAACTTAGGACCTTGTGCTTTCCAGACAGGTGCTTATGCCACTGAGCTTTATCCCCATCCCATTTTTTTTTTAAAGGAAAGGGAGGCTGGGGAGATAGCTCAGTGGTTTAAGTGACTGGTTGGCAAATGCAAGGTCCTGAGTTGAACTCCTGGTACCAAAAAAGGAATAATTTTTCTTGAGAAGGATTGTTGGGTTTTTTTGGCTGGCTCAGACTGCCTTAAGGGTGGGTCTGGTAAGGCAGGTGGAGCTGGGGATCAAACTGGGGCCCCCTGCGCCTGACTGGGTTTTCCAGAGCAGGCAGTTAAGCAAATGAGCTAACCTGAAAATGCCAGGAATAATTTATTTTTATTTTTATTTTTTTTCAGAACCAGGGATTGAACTCAGGCCCCAGTGCTTGCCAGTCAAATGCTTATTCTACTGAGCCATCTCCCTGGCCCTGGAATAATTTTTCTTGAACCAAAAAAAGTAAATAATTTTGTTATATGGGTTTCCCATATATTTCTGGGGAAAACAAGTCACCTTTTTTATGTGTTCCTTGAGGACAAGTCTTACTTATGTGGCAGCACAGATGAGAGTTATTGTCATTTTCTGGTGAAGACCACCCTCCAAGAGGCTGCCTGCTTAAGCCAGCCTCTCTGAGAAGGTGCCCTTTCAGGGCTGGCTCCCAGGCGGCTCCACCGAGGCTCACTCACCAGGCCTGTCTGAGCTTACCCATGCAGGCCAGAGTGCTTCAGACCCCTTTGGGGAAGCAGGCTTGAGGACACGCCATGACCGAGGTGTCCAGGAGACCAAGCATGGCGCTTCCTTCACTGCTGCCCTGTCCTGCAGGTCTCACCCGGCTGGGGTGCGGGCGGAGGCTGGGGTGGGGCGGAGGCTGGGGTGGGGCGGAGGCTGGGGTGGGGCGGAGGCTGGGGTGGGGCGGAGGCTGGGGTGGGGCGGAGGCTGGGGTGTGGGCGGAGGCTGGGGTGGGGCGAGTTTGTGTGCTTCGTAGAAGGTGTTCAGGAAGCACAGGTGCCATTAGTTCGTGTGGATCAAAAAATAGAAGGATGTGGGCTTCGTG